CCGTGAAATATATTTTTCAATAGTGTTTGTGTTGTCACTAGGGTGAAACTCCATTGTCATGGATTGGTAGGAGTGGCTGGTCAGTCCATCTGAAGTGACTCTTCGTAGACTCGGGCATTCGTGATTTGAATCGAAATGACTCAGTGGATAGAAAGAGCACTTCAAAACGGTGTTCGCGTATGTATGATATTAGTATACGCTGAATCACTCTGTATGTACACACATAGTGTTGGAGTATTGGGTTTTTAGATATGCGTTGCTTCCTGGTGATGCTCTAATCGCGGCTGGTATGGTATCATATTCGGGGCCTTTCGTCGCCTCTTATCGTACAGCCTTTGAGAAGGAGTAGGTTGGGGGAGGGTATTATGATATATCACAATACCGGTTTTTGGCTAATTCTGAATGGGGTGTTTTGAAAAAAAACCAACGCTATAGGAAATGATGTCGAATGAGGGTTGGCTTCTGTACTCTCTACACGAATTCGTCTATGAAACTCCTGTGAGTAGCAAGGAAACTTTCAAGCTCAGTTGAGAGAACGCGCACATTCGTTCCCATTGATAACGATAGGAATGCTGTATGCTTTGTATTTGATATTTCTGTTTAATCCTATCTTGACACGCCGTATACTTCATAGAGAGACGAAGTATGGAAGTTTTGGTATTCGAATGGTTGCATAAGAAAATTAGAGTTCTTTGTGGAAGGTAAGTTTTCACTGTATCAGGTGGATGAAGACATGCGATGAAGAAGGCGTTGGACATTCGCCGGGCTGTAGAATGCTGGAGGTTAGCACTTCCATGATGTCGTCTTTTGAGATGGTGTTTAGGTATTGGGTGATCCTGTGAAGATTCAGCAATGGGTGGTATGCAGTTTGCCGCAGGACACGTTATCGGTTGAAAATGCTATTATTATTGATACTAGTAGCCGTTGGCCGCTTATGATAGACCCGCAGAGGCAGGCGAATAAATTTATAAAAAATCTTGGCAAGCAATCAAGTGAGGCGGGAATTGAAAGTTGCAAGTTGAGCGATCCGAATTTTCTGCGGACACTGGAACTTGGTATACAATTTGGAAAGTGGATTTTGTTGGAGAATGTTGGCGAGGAGCTCGATCCAGCATTGGAGCCAATTCTGCTGCAGCAAAAGGTGAAGGATGGCTCCGGTTACGTTATGAAATTGGGTGATAAAACGATTAATTACATGGAAACGTTTAGACTGTTTATTACTACTACGTTGCCGAATCCTCATTACTCGCCTGAGACATCGGTGAAAGTGACTTTGTTGAATTTCGCTATCACAATGGACGGTTTGGTGGAGCAGATGTTGGGAATTGTGGTTGCTAAGGAGGCGCCCGAGTTGGAGGAAAAAAAGGCGAAGTTGTTGAAGGACAATGCGGATATGGCTAAGCAGTTGAAGGGAATTGAAGATGAGATTTTGAGGTTGTTGGCGTCGAGTGAAGGGGATATTTTGGAGGATGAAACGCTGATTAATACGCTGGCTGTTAGTAAAGAGACGAGCGCGGTGATAAATACTAAGGTTGAGGAGGCTAAGGTGAGTTGTTGTTTTTGGTGTCTTTGTTGTTGCTGTTGTCTTTGTTGTCGTTGGTGCTGCTGCTGCTGTTGTTGTTATTGTTGTTCTAATCGTTGTTGTTGTTGTTCTTGTTCCTGCTGCTGCTGCTGTTCTTGTTCTTGTTCCTGCTGTTGTTGT